CCTGGTTACGAGAATCCAAGTAGGAATCTAACCACGAATAAAGGAGGTCTTCAATACCATAATCGGATAATACTAAGCAATATAATAAATGCTTCAACAAAATGCTATAACCTAACGAAAATAGTCTCGGTTGCTTTTAACCATCGAGACACAAATAACTGGATGCCCATTTTGCTCAAGAAGAGCAACAATGCCATCAGGTGATGCATCAGTAATAAAAGTGGAATGAATTTTGGGATTGACTGGATGAAGCAGAGGATCTGTCTGCAGAAAACTCAGCAATTTACGTGATGATTGATCATGATCATCAGTCCAAGCAAATTTGTCAGAAGATGAAAAGAGAAATATGAGTGAAGTTTTCTGACTGGAATTGGGAATAAATCCGGGATAGTACGGCAGGGCTCCAATCAGGGATCTGGGTTCGTGTATGTTAGACGATGATTTGGCTTTTGTCAGAGGAAATAGACGATTTGGGTCAGGTTTGTATCCTTTACCATCAACTAAGCATCCAAGACAACCAAAATGAGAAACAGAAAGTAAACACTTCTTCTACGAAAGAGTTCAAGCAACCGCGCGTTATGAGTGGACTGGTTAGGAGCATGATGTCATAATGTCATAATAATAATAATAATAATGGCATAATGTCATCCTGATACTTCAAAAGCAAACATATCACCAGCAACGTCATTCATAACTTGTTGAAATAGGACGGGACAAATGGATGAACAAGACGGCAAAAATTTGTATCTGTACAAACCAAAAGGAGTAGTGAAAGTTGTAAAGGTAGAGGACGATTTGTCCAACGGGATTCGTAGATAAGTATCTTTTAAGGTAATCTCGGAAAAGATCTTAGAACCAGTCAACTTATTCAGAAAATCCTCTGGTTCAACAGTTGTACACGTCTGTTTTAAAAATCTTCTATTCAGGGTGATTCAGTAGCCGCCACATATTCTGGGGGTTTTGCCATCCGACTTGAGTGGCATGACGATTGGTGTGCCTCATGCTGACAACGCAACCTTTTCTGCAACACCTTTAGAACACAATTTGTTCGGTGAATTCATGACAGGTTCAGGGAGATCACATAAAATAACTCGGCGTTCGAGAAAAACCGGATTGCCATCAACTGTTATTTTCAATGGGTGGATTTTCACGCCACCACTTTCCTTTGAGCATTCGATAATCAAATCTTTTCGTTCATTTTCGGTATTAATGGAGGGTAACAAAGAACGATTGGCATTTAGTGCTTGCATAGCTTTCAAGCCTATTATGAAGGGGCCAGACGTGATTACAATGAATGTACAGATGACACTTTTAGAATGTTTATCACGGACTGAAATCTCACAGGAACCAACAACAGGTAATGAGTGTCCAGTGATGCCATTGATGGTGACAGTGAACGGCTATGGTTTAGCATCTGGAGGAAACATTTTTCAATTATGCTCAAAAATTAGAGACTCCACAAGACCATTGTCCAAAATGAAATGAAGTGAGTTACCAGTGGAACTGAATAGTTACTTACAAATGTGACTGAAATGAGAGGTAGTTGCCAAAGATAAATGAGAACAATTTTTGTCTTTCACCCACTTCTGAGGCATTGGATTGAATTAAACGACAAGTTTTGGTACTGCGACACAGATTAAATATGACCAATTTTGCCCACTTGGGACATAAAGCGTAACGAAATGGACTTATAAATCTGGGATGACGTTTACTGCAAGATACACAATTCAATCCAATCCAATCTTCCAGGATTTATTCAAACATGTCACATTGTGTGAGCTAGATTGTGTAACTCGTTTGAGACGTCCGGCTGTAGCATGAACTTCCGTGAGTTTAGCTTTAAGTGAATTGAACATGGTTGTAGATGCAATGTTCGACAGCATCGATGAAGTAGTGGAGTAGTGAAGTAGTGTTTTGATATTGTTCACAGTGGGCCCACACACCTTTAAACGTAGGATTAGATAGCTTCAAAAGTTCATTTTACAAAATAGTATTATTGATGCCAGCAATCAGTCGCTCTTTCGACTGCATGTCCAGTAAGTCTCCAGAATCACATCTTGCAGCTTGTATGAGTAAATCGAGGATGAATGCACGAACGCCCTGATTCGGATTGCGTACCATTGAATGAAAGTTTGCCCTCTCCGAGGCTTCAAAGTTTGTCGGCTGCACATGGTGGAGGGACTTAAAATCCCCGTACGGTACAGAAACAGGTGGAGAAGGATAAGCCAAGTTCTTGATTAGACTATAAGTACTTCAGTCGGAAGCATTCAAAAGTGCGCGAGTTTCTTTCCTTAATCGCGCTTCGAATGAGTCAACCACCAAATCTCAAAACGTTCAAAATAATCCTCAATATCACGTGCAATGCAGTTGAGATCTAGGGATTCCAGAGAATTCGAATTCGTTCCTCAGTAGACCGGCCGTGACGCAAAATTTAGTATTGTGAATAGTATTCGAAATGCGGTTCCGGAATTCACACAACACCGAACCCCGAAAAACTCAGTTAAGTTCATTTCAGTTCTCACAGGTCGAATATGGCTCTTGCCGATCGAGCGCCCAGTTCGTTGTGTTGTCGGCGGATGGTAGTAGCTTTCAACACTGCGTACAGTTGATTAGGTGTTTGTGATCCTCTCGATTTAGCCTCCTGGCCAGAACGTCGACTCTTTGGGGGTATGCTGAAATGGAGGAAAATAAGCATGGATAACTCCTCGCCTCATTGATTAGAGACCTCAGGTACACATCCATTCGTATACACAGATCACATGTGGCCGGACAGTCAGTTTTAGAATAATTCTAACAGTCAAGCCCGAGTTTGCATCATTTCAAAGCATCCGGCTGAGGTAGAATTTATTCCTTATGTTACCACTCTAAATACTAACTTTGGAGAACGTTGCTGACCAACATGCGTCCAGGGTCACCTTAAAGGCGTGAACATTGGTGCAGTTGACCACTTCTGCTGGTAACCTGTCCCACATAGGTATGATCCTATGCACGAAGAAGTTGGACCATACTTCCAATCTGGTGTGGTTCTGCTGAAGTTTATAGCCATGACCGCTCGTGTTCTGAGCACGAGAAATTGTAAATAAGTCGTCTAGGTTGAGTCCCGATAAACCTCTTACAATTTTGAAAGTCTCTATCAGATCTCTTCTCACTCTTATACGCTCCAGTGAAAAGAGATAAAGATCTCTCAACCGCTGCGCATAACTCTTCCCCTTTTACCCATCCAACTTTCGCGTAGCTGGGCGCTGCACTCTTTTTGAACAAGATACATCCCTCCTGTAATAGGTGCCCATGCCTGCACACAATACTCCATGTGTGGGCAAACAATCGACTTATACAGTGGGACGAAAACCTCAGGCCATCTGCATGTTACTGTAGCACACAGCCTGAACAGCGGCCCCCTAGTCTGATTTGCAGCCTTGGAGCACTGAGTTGATGGTTTAAAAATCTGGGTCATAAGAACTTCTAGATCCTTCTTCTGCGGGGCCTGTTGTATGAGAGCTCCATTCGACGACTGTACCCTCACTCTCGTTGCTAAGAGCTTACACTTGTCTAGATTCAAAGGTAGGTCCCACTTGACCGACCATCGATAGACTACGTCTAGGTCCCTTTGCAGGTTTAACCCCATCATTTTGACATCATCAGCAAACATGAAGCACGGATTTTGAAAATATTGTGCCAGGTCGTTGATGAATATGAGAAAAAGTAGGGGGCCTAGCGCTAAGCCCTGGGAAACTCCACTGGCAACCACCTCATGGCTAGAAATGTAGTCACCCACGTTGACCGGGAAGGTGCAGTTGTTGAAAAAGGCTACAATCCAGTCCCTGGCTCTACCTGTTATGCCTAGGCTCCGAACTTTGAAGCCCAACAATCTATGGCTGACAGAGTCAAACGCCGTACTGAAGTCTAAGTAACAGACCTACATTTTTCTCCTCATCCATTCGTTGAGTGACTTCGTCTAGGAATATCAGCAGGCTCGTAAGACATGATTTCCGTTGCATAAAACCATGTTGTGCCGGTGACAGGAGTGGATCGTNTAGTCGGATGTAAGCAAATCTGCCTTCTGATTAGTCGCTCCAGGCACTTACACAACACTGAAGTTAGGCTAACGGGTCTCCGAATGAAATGGCACACGGAATTTGTTCAATCTTCGATTTTTAAGGGCAGTGGGAGGTCCCGTATAAGCCCCAATCTCAATGTGCTCCACTCGGGTGATAAGGTGTTGATATCAGACCAGTGTTCCTTTATGGCTGTGTCAAGTTTTAGCTTGAAAATGCTATCGTTTGGCTCTTCTACCACGTCCTCCGGAAGTGAATTTCAGAGATTTGTCACCCTCCTCGACAGACGATAGATCAGCGGCAGACCGTTAGACTGCATCTTGCGGAACGTCAGTGCGTGCCCCCCGATGCGGGTGTTGTTCCTCAGGGGGAATTTCAACTGCTATTCTGGGCCAAAGTCACCCCGGATGATGCGTCTGGTGTAGATCAGGTCGCCTCTCAGTCGTCTGTATGGCATGGGGAACAGTCCCGTTGCACTCAGTCGTCACTCGTAGTTGTTCCCACGTAGTCCTTCGACAAGGCGTGTGGCAGTCCTTTGGACTGTTTCCAGTTGGGCAATCTCAGGAGCCGTACAAGGAAAGATCGCCGGACCGCCATATTCCAATCGGGGGTAACGTGGGAGGCTTACAGCAATTCGAAGGCCCCTAGGTGTAACGGACCAAACGAACGGCGGCGCACAGGCACAGGCTTTGTCTGTCTGTGAACACAAATCTCTCTCCTCAGTTGATTGCCGGAGCACAGTACTTCCAAGAAGGTAGCTGGTGGTGAGACCGTGTCCTCCTATCCTCATGTGGGCGCACTTGAAGATATTCGGTAGTCCCAATACCCTCGATCAGTTCATCAAAGCGTTCAGGTCATCCTGAAGAGACAATTGGTCCGCCACTGTCTGGATTGTTCTCCAGAGCTTCAGTTCGTCTGCATAGATTGAGAACGGGCTACTCAACGTTGACGGTATGTCGTCCGCAAAGATCGGGAACAACAGTGGACCAAGAACGGAGCCCTGTGGGACACCACTGGTGACTGTGTACCACGCAGATTGCGCCTGAGAAACTCTCACTGAAAATGGTATTCCTTTCAGGAAGTCTTCTAACCAGCGAAGTGCGGACCCTGTGATACCCAGAGCCCAGAGTTTTGTGAGCACCTTGTAGTGGGCGACTTTGTCGATAGCCTTGCTGAAGTCCGTACCATATCCCTCGTCCTTGCCTCCAGACCAATATTGCCGAGAAAGCAGCAAATTGGTCATGCAGCAACGCATCTGGAGCAAACCATATTGTTCCCTAAACACCCACTGGTGCTGTTCAATGTGATCCGTAAGTCGTGAAACCATCGTCTTGCCAATAACCGATGTGATGCTCACAGGGCGGTAGTTGCCTGGTGCAGCTTTCGTTCCGCCTTTGTAAATCGGAAACCACAACCGCTTTCTTCCACCCTGAGGGCAGTCTTCCCCAGCGCATTGACAGGTTGAAAAGCCGCGTAATTGAGGGGGAGAGCTGTACCGCTAGTTCCTTGAGCATGGGGGATGAATACCATCCGGGCCTGGAGACTGACTCGTCTCGATCGACTGCAGCACTTTTGTTACCTCCCCTTCTGAAAACTATTTGAAGATGAGTATCGATGTGGTTCTGACTGCTGTTGGTGGAGAGCCAGAATTTGTCGTGTACAATGAGTGGTACTGTGTGGCCTCTTCCGCTTTGCCCTCGTCGGTGTCAACCGTGACAACTCCATCGATCAACGCTGGAATACCAGCTCTTGCTCTCTTGGGCCCCTAGGTAAGCAAAGAATCGTTTAAGAGCCTTCACTGAGTCAGCTGCTAGCTTCTCCTCGAAGGTGTTCCACTTGGATTGTTTCAACTCCGTGCACTCATTCCGTTTTCTCCGATAGAGGTCATAGCCTGCACCGGTGGCCCGAAAAAATTGCCTAGCGCGGTTTCGGCGCCAGAGTAATCGTCACAGTTCAGAATCAAACCATGGCGGCCCAAATGTTCGCGGTCTACTGTGAGTTGCTGGGGCAAACGTGTCAGTAAGGTGGACGATAACGTCCCGGATGTGTTCCCATACCAACTCTATGTCATTCATCTAATGAAGGATCGATGGGAGCCACGGCACAGCCATGGCGGCCGCCCGTGCCGCTTCAAGCTGAGTGCGCCATATATTTCAACCTCTATGTAACCCCAGGGGTGCGTGGGTATCATTCCGCCAACGAATAGTCAATACCATGCGGTCACTGCACCCTAATGCAGGGTGTTACTCGATCTGTTCTATATCGGAACTCCTCGGCGATATCACCAGGTCTAGAATCGACCCCCGTCC